CTCAACAGCCGCAACACTTTTTCAGCCTGACTGCCCCACCCATCCCCCACCCCCAACCCCCCCCACAACCACCCCCCACCGTCCCACCCTTCCCCCTCCCCTTCCCCCTCCCCAACCCGCCCCACCCGTCGCATTGCTGCAGCGCGATCCGCGTATGACCAGCCTGCACCTCCGCCCACCGCTCCGTGCACACCAGCACGGGCAGCCCCAACCCCTCCTTGAAAAATTTCGCTGCCCGCGGCACGTCGCGCTGGAGCAGCAACACGTGGCGCAACGCTGCCGCTGCTGCAGACGCTGCGCCTCCTGATGCCGCCATGCTAGCGAGATAGAATCACAGACGAGTTAATGCGAGTAAGGTTACTAGGCCATTTTGGACAGGCCTGCAAGTTAGGGTTTAATCGCCCGAGGTTGGTACTAGGTCGCCTAATGTTGCTACTAGATTGCCTAAAATTCCTAATAGGTCGCCTAAGGGTTGTTATCCAAAAAGAACAAACAGTCAACTGCTCAATGAGACAATGATGTGACACGAGTTCTAAGGTTTGTCCGCCCCCGAGAACTTTAGGGACATTTGCGGGGGCCATCACAGGCTTGCCAGGGCGTGTTTTGGAATTCCCAAAAAAACACATCAGCTGTGCTCTGCAGGCACATGGAAAAGGGATGGAAATGGAAACCAGCCCTCCGAGCCTCACCAACTGGTAAGGTGCCGAGCCTCAAATATTAGCTCGGCTTGAAACGAGCGCTCCGAGCCTCACCAGTTTCGGTTTGCAATCCACTCGTTTCTTTCTTCGTATATCAACCTGCGTTGGGGTGTCCGTCGTTGGATAGTGCCGGTATGGCTTGTATCACGGATGGAGAGAGTAACCCACGAAATTTCCAAGAGGACCCGAAACAGCCACGTCTTAGAAACCGGGCTCGGACCTGGTGTCAGTTTCCATGACATTTATCACATAGCTGAACGGAATCGGGCATGCTAGCGTGCAAGTTACATGGCCGTTGGAAATATCAAGAAATGCAGAAATCCCATATATATTTTGTGTGTGTTGCGGAGCAACCTATTGCGATCGATCGGGCGACATTTTCCTTTTCAAAATTTATCAAGTTTTATTAAAAATGAAATTAATTGAATCAAAATGATGGATAATAGTGACAATACATAGAAGATCCATCATCTACACTACATAGCTTCATTAGCTTTGCTTAACGAATAATTGAAAGATATGGCATATCGCCATAGGTTGAAAGGGAGTAATTGAAATGTGTAATATAATGTAATCTAATAATTAAACCATGGTATTGGAAAATAAAGATTTGATGGAAAACAAGAACAAACATGTAAATGTTTTCCATCATTTCCCGTAGCGTATCTTTGTCGGCGACAAAAATAGGCAATCGCAGTGAAATTATATATGTTATATATAATTGTAGGCTGGTAGGTATTACTGAAACCTACTGTAGAGGGTACAACTCTCTCCTTGTATCCCTCTCACTTCTAATCTCGACCTCTTTTCTCTCGTCAACTTTCTCTCCTAGCTAAACCCTTACGCCACTTTATGGCCGCCTACCGTTCCTAGCTCGCTACCTTTTCAACATGGTAACAGTACGAGTTACCCTTCCCGGGCCTGCTCCCCACGTTTCCGCCGCGTACTCGCCCTTCTCTCGTCACTTCCGTGCCACCGTGGTGGCCATGCCGGGCTGTCATGGCGGCTTCGTCGTGCTGCTATGGCAGCGTCAACGTGCCGCCGCGGCATTGACGCCACGCTGTGGCGGCGTCGTCAAGCTGCCGTAGCGGCGTCGTCGGGCGCCAGCGGGCCGCGCAACGTTCTAAGCGCCTACCCTGATGCCCGCATGCCAGCCCCGGACGTGTTGCTGGACCCCCCCCCCCCCCCCCCCCTCTTCCCTTCTTTGCATTTCCCTTTCACCCCGCTGCAGCTGATGGCTGTCTCGCTCCGTGCGCCTTCGTCGTTGCTGAGCCGGGCCACGTCACCGGGTGCCACGGTCTCCGTCGCCGTCGCCTCCGCCGTCGAAGTCGCCGCCGATGTTGCAGGTGCTGCTGGCTCTGCCGCCGCCGCTGTCGAAGCCGCCGTTGTCATCGTAATGTCGTCGACGCTGCCGCCGCCGTCGCCGCCACCGATGTCCCCGCCGTCGCCGCCACCGATGTCCCCGCCTCTGACGTCGCCGCCTCGAACTTCGAGGGGTCGACCGGGCTGATGCAGCCACCGCTGCTGTAGGGCATGGGGGTGCGAAGGGTCTTGGGGGTGTTGTGGGTGTTGGTTGGCTTAAGACTACTAAGCCTAGGGGGTGTGTTAAATTATATAAGTTATACATCATTATAGGCTTGGTAGGTATTAGTAAAACCTACTGTAGACGGTACAAATCCCTCTTTGTATCCCTCTCTCTTCTAATCTCGACCTCTTTCCTCTCGTCAACTTTCTCTCCTAGCTAAACCCTCTCGTCAACCTTCATGGCCGCCTACCGTTCCTAGCTCGCTACCTTTTCAACAATGGCTTCTCCAGCTAAGTGGGGGAAGCTGAAAGCCTAATAATCAAATCACACAATATTTTTTCAGGCAATGCACTTTGTGATAGAAAGAAAACAGATTGCACTTATCATCTCCATTTCAAATGACTGCACTCAAGGTGAAAAGTCAAAGAACCTTACTCGAGACGAGCAGCACAATCTTTTTTATTGCATACACAAAATGCAATACCCATGTATCAAGAAAGCAGTAGCCGAATGGAGAAGGGCAGCAACGGAAAGCAAAGGGCAAAGGCAGCAACAAGTAGAAAGCAATTGAAACATGTTACGTATATGATAGTCTACTGTAGATAAAAAGCATAGTAGGAAACCAGAGATCCTTTCTAATGGCAATCCTGAAGCACCAATACACGTGGCAAAAAAATGAGAACATTAAAAGAACACAAGTTTAGTTGACAAACGAATGCATGGTAGAACTCGGAAAATGGAACTCAAGATTAAAGAAGGAAGGACACATGAGATAGAGGTAAAAAATGGGAAGGCAGAGGTATAGAGAGGTAGAGGTAGAGAGAGAGAGAGAGAGAGAGAGAGAGAGAGAGAGAGAGAGAGAGAGAGAGAGAGAGAGAGAGAGAGAGAGAGAGAGAGAGAGAGAAAGAGGGAGAGAGGGAGTGAGTGAGAGAGAGAGAGAGCGAGAGAGAGAGAGAGAGAGAGTGAGAGAGAGAAAGAGAGAGAGAGAGAGAGAGAGAGAGTGAGAGAGAGAAAGAGAGAGAGAGAGAGAGAGAGAGAGAGAGAGAGAGGAGAGAGAGAGAGAGAGAGGGGGGGGGGGGAGGGAGGGGGGGGCATGCTATTTAAGCCTCTCATGAGCCCATCCTAGCTAAGTTTCATTGGGAGTTTCTTCCCTGGTTTGGCGGATAAAGGAAAAGAAGTAGCGGAAAAGACAGGAGGGATAAGAGAAAGAAAGTAGCCGAATAAAAGATTGGTAGATGGAAGAAAGGAGTGGGGAATGCGGAACAAGAAATGAAGGTAGGTGGAATAAGAGTGTGGTGGGCATAATAAGGAGAGGTTGGAGGGATGAGACGTAGGCGGAGTAGGCGGAGTAAGTGGAGTAAGAGTAGGTGGAATAAGGAAGAGAGGTAAGCTGAATAAGTAAGAGGCAGGCGGAGTAAGGGAGAGGTAGGTGGAATAAGGATGTAGGTGGAATAAGGAAATAGGCGGAATAAGGAAGAAGGCGAATAAGAGAAAGGTAGGCAGAACAAAGAGAGGTAGGCGGAATAAGGGAGATGGTTAGGCGGAATATGGAGATAGGTAGGCGGAATAAGAGAGAGGTAGGTGGAATGAGAGGGTAGGAGGAGTAAGAGAAATATAGGCGGAATACGCGTGAGGTAGGCGAAATAAGAGAAAGAGAGGCGGTATAAAGAAGAAATGTAGCCAGAACAAGAAAGAGGTAACTGGAATAAGGGAGGCACGCGGAATGTGAGAAATGCATGCGGACTTAGGAAGTGAGGAAGGTGGGATAACAAAAAGGTAGGCGGAATAATGAAGAGCGGTAGGCGGAAATATAGTGAGAGGTAGACGGTATAAGAAAGAGGTAGGCAGGATAAGAAAGGGGTAGGCGGAATAAGTGAGAGGTATGCGGAATAAGGGAGAGGGTTCGAAGGAATACGAGAGAGGTGGGCGGAATAAGAGAAAGAGGTAGGCGGGATGAGGGAGGGTTAGGGGGAGTCGGCGGAATAGGAGAAATCTAGGTGGAATAAGGGAGTCAACAAACTAGGATCAAGAATGGCAGGCAATTAGAGAAAAGTATACTAAAAATCTTCTCACGTTGAAAAAAGGCTCGATGGTGCCATGGAGGAATTCGAGTTCTAGAAAAACGTAGGCTAAAGGCAGCGTCTTGGAGGGAAAAAAATGACAGAGCAGTCCAGCAACCCTAGGCATAATTAGTCACATCGTAAAGATAAACAATCAATTAAATAAAATCTTGATGACATCTGTTATAAATGAACAAGCAGAGTAGCGCGGAAATGAATAACGAAGTGTTCAATCAGTGAATGATGATACAAGGAATCACAAGCCAATATGTAGGAACACCAGAGCAAGTCTAACCATGAGATGTGAAGGTTCGGGAAAGAGATCGAAGGGTCTCGAAGTGACGAAGCGAGGCCCAGAGAACTCCCGAATGTCGAACTAAAAGGTCTGGAGAAGCTGAGACAGTTCCTGTCAGTAAGGTCCGGAACTGTCCCGAGGCTTCTGGTGTATTCGAGTGTACGCGATAGCAGTACCGCTCGATAAGGAATGGAAAATTCCTTACACAACCCCCCTCTTAGCGAAGGTGATCTATATCAGTCACGTGCTTGCGGGCTAAATATTTCGGAAGTATCGAAGGTGACTGTATCTTGTCCGAGGCCACCCACGTGTCGTCCTCCCTGGTACGATTAGTCCATCGTATCAGAAAGTCAATGTGTCATCCTTGGCCGTCGATACGAATCCTATGGCTCAAAATCTTCGAAGGTTCGATGGTCGTCTCTGCTGGTGGCCGTATATCCGGGGCCAATCACTGTCGAGCGATGGCCGATGTGTCAGATACAAAAGGTCGCAATAGGCTCACGTGGAACTTGTTGTGAATACGCCAATCGTCAGGTAGGCGCAACTGGGCGGTCACCGGAGTCACCATCTTCATGATCTTGAATGGGCCACAGAAGCGTGGTCGTAATTTTGTTGGTAGTGGTAGCCGTAAGTTCTTGGAGTCCAAAAGGACCAGTTGCCCTGCTGCCATTGTAATATCCCGTCGATGTAAATCCGCATACCATCAGGCAGTAGCATTCGCCTTGCGAATCAGTTCGACAGCTTTGTCTCGGGCAGTCTGTAATTCTTTGACGAACTGCTGTGACCGTGGTACTTGACTCTCAACGTTGGTAGAGATAGGTACTATGGGGTCCATCCCATAATTGAGGTAAAACGGGGAGTGATTAGTCGTAGCTGAGGGCGCGTTGTTGTAGGAGAATTCCAACATGGGAAGCACGTCCTCCCATTTGTTTCGGTCGGGGCAGTTTGTCCGAATCAGCTGTTCCATCGTTTGGTTTGTTCTTTCTGTCTGACCGTCCGTTTGGGGATGATAAGTGGATGAGAATTGCAGGCGCGTGCCATACCGAGCCCACGTGTCCTGCCAAAATTTCGACGTGAACTTCGTATCCCGATCGCTGATGATTGCTGCTGGTATCCCGTATAGGTGAACAACAGTCGAGATGAACAGTCGCGCGGTTTCTTCGGCTATGATGGTTGTACGACATGGTGCAAAATGCTCCATTTTCGTCAATCGATGGACGACAGCCAATACTGCGTCGTTTCCGCTAGATAGAGCCGGCAGACCTGTGACGAAATCCATCGTCACGTGTTGCCATGGGCGTTGAGGTGGCTCGAAGGGCTGCAACAGTCCTGTCGGTCTCTGATGTGATGATTTCATTCGCTGGCAGATCGGACACGCGGCCACGTAACGCTGCACGTCCGTCACCATATCTGGCAAGTAATAAAACCGCTGCAACGCCTTCAGAGTTTCATCAACCCCGAAATGTCCCGATAAATTCGAATCGTGGACTTCTTGAATTAGTAATTCACGGAGTAGACGATAACTTGGGACCCAAATTCGATCCGTCCCGCTTCGTAAGTAATAGCCGCGTTTCCGTGTAGTGATTTGGAGATGGCCGTCATTTACAAAGAAGGGGTCCGTCGAATACCCGTGGGTAAATGGTCCACTCAGTAGCGGGTTGCTCTGGGCGACTAGTACTGCTGCGAGTTGGGCAGACGGTCTGGAGAGGGCATCGGCAATATTGTTGGCGCCCTTTTTGTACGTGAACTGTATGTGAAGTTGGACTCTAGATAGTCCAGCCAGCGTATCTGCCGCGGGTTGAGATTCGGTTGCGCCCTCAGGTACTGTAGAGATTTATCATCGGTTCGCACCGTCACGTCTGCGCCAGTCAGGTAGCACCTCCAGATTTTGAACGCGTGGACAATCGCCAGCATCTCCTTATCGTGTACCGGGTAGTTGTGCTCAGCAGATTGCATTTTCCGAGACTCGTATGTGATTGGTTGAAGACCATTGCCAAAATCTTGCATGAGCACTGCTCTGATGGCGATGTCACTTGCGTCGGTGATGACTTCGAAGGGCCATTCCGGGTTAGCGATGCGAAGTACTGGTGGCGACATTAAAAGAGTTTTTAATGCCTCGAACGCAGCTTGCTGCTTCTCTCCCTACTCGTAAGAAGTCCCCTTCTACAGTAGGTCGGTTAGAGGTCCAGTTAACCCTGACATGTTGGGTATAAACCGTCTCACATAATTCACAAAACCCAGAAATGATTGCAGCTGCTACAGATTGGTTGGCGGTTTCCACTCGTGAATAGCCCAGAGTTTTTTCGGGTCTATTTGAATCCCCTCCGTGGATATCACGTGCCCTAGGAACTCCAGTTCTTGTTTTAAAAACTCGCACTTGGAGCCCTTGGTGATGAGACGATGCTGCTGCAGTTGCTGGAAAACCGCTCCCAAGTCATTTAAATGTTGTTCTCGGGTCTTTCTAATGTCATCCAAGTAAATTATCACACATTTGTTGAGTAGATCGTGGAACACCCCGTTCATGGTAAGCTGGAACGTCGAGGGAGCGTTCGTTAATCCAAACGGCATCACCGTGTATTCGTAACTCCCGTAGCGAGTACGAAACACGGTTTTGTGGCAGTCGTCGGCGAACACCCGAATTTGATGGTAACCGCCGCGAAGGTCGATCTTCGAAAAGTAGTGAGCTCTGCGAAGGTTGTCAATCAGCTCGTCTGTGCGTGAGATTGGGTAGCGCGGTTTAATCGTTACCCGATTAAGGGCACGATAGTCTGTACACATGCGAAGTCCGCCGTCCTTCTTTGGGGTAAACATGATCGGCGCCGCGAACAGGGACGGGTTTGGCCGAATAAACCCGTTTGCAAGAAGGTAGTCAAGTTGGTTCCATAATTCATGTAGCTCGGGCTGAGTCAAGCGCCATTGTGTTCGTACTATAGGCTGCGCGCTAGGCTCCAGCTCGATTTTGTGATCTTGGGGTCTTTCGGGTGGCAGTCCACTTGGCAAGTCGTCCGGGAAAATCTCAGGATATTCCCGAACGATTTTTGCCAAGTCATCCGGGACCGAAGCGCAGAGTTTGTTGATGTCGGTCGCCTCGTTTTACTCCGTTGATTCGGTTAGATGGACAGCGTATAAATCCGCTCCATTCTTGACCGCCCGTTTGAGGCACACAACGTTGACTCGTGTCGAGGTCGATTCTGCTTCCGGCCACGTGGGTAATTTTTGTTAGGATTAAGGACGGAGTCTAGGTGTGCTTAGGAGCTAGAAATACTCAAAATATAAATCCGAAATTCTGGACAGAAAAGTCGTCTTCACAAGAAACGACGTCGACAAAAAACTAGCCGTTCGAATGTCGCGAAACTTCGAGATGTTGTAGCTCTTAATCTCAGCTACCGTTCCCAATTTGAATCACGTCGATTAATGAAGTATTCGCGACGCTATGTCTTTCGACGCACTGAGGGGTAAGCTGTAGGAGGAGAACTTAACTCAATCTCAAAAGTTCAATCAAGGTTCAAGAATCTCACAAGGAATTGGAGGAGCAAGAGAAAGGTTGGGATAGAAAGAGAGGGACGAGAGGGAAGGTCCCAAGAGAGTCCCCAACCAAGGAAACCCCATAAGCACAAAGATTCCCTCCCTATAGGAACCCCAACTTTGACATTTGTCCCTTCCCAACCAATCCATCCAAGTTGGCCACCCTTGCCAACCTAGCTTGGTTGTTCCCAACCAATTTGCAGCTGTTACAGTAGAGTGACAAATTTCCCCAACCCCAAAGGTCCCAACTCCATATAGAGTCACCCCACAACTTCACTTTGTAACCGCCGCAATTGTAACGCAAGCTCATGAACTTTGAATCTTCATAGCTTTCGCGTTCTTGCTCCGATTGAAGCGATTCTTGTTGCGTCGGAAAGATCTTCTCAAGATCTATCATCACAAATACCTGCTCAGACAGAATAACACAAAACACATTCCCAAACTCCAGAACACACCACACACAAATTCTTTCACACACAGTCAAACCATACATACGAATTGAAACAAGAGATGGGAGGCAGACAGAATGTGATAGCATATGATGACATCACACAACAATTTTCGCCAACCTTTTTCGCACTTCACTGTGCACTCGCCTGTTGTCCAATCAATCTGCGAATTGAATCTTCGCAGCCAATCACATCCCAACAGCACATCGTATCCATCGAGTGTTGTCGCTAGCATCGGCGTGCTGTAGCCGAAATCTTCGCCACACTTCATTCGAATGATGGGTACTTTGTCGCGTATCGCCAGCGGGGTCCCATCTACCAATCTTGCATCGATATCAGGCAGACACTGTTCCAACGATAAGTGTAGTCTTTGTGCTGTCTCCTGATTTATCAGGCTGTGACTTGCACCTCCGTCGATGAATATTTTATTTTTTCTTCCATTGAGTCGTCCTTCCGCCAGCACAGGGTGGTCCACTGGGTCATCCCCCTTATTCAGCCGGGAGCGGTTGATAGCGTGTAATGGAACTACCACCCAGTGGGGATGGCCTTTTTCGGGCAATGAGGCAGGGTCAGTAGGGGGCCCGACCGCTACTGACGCTTGGCGTTTCACGACCTGCCGTCGTCGTTCTTCTTTATCTGCTTCTTTCGGGGGCAATCGTGAGATTGGTGACCCGGCTGGTGGCAGTTGAAACATTGTCCCTTGCGAAAATCTTCCATGTGCTCCTTCGCCACTACGCCGTGAATCCTGGGCCGTGGATCCTGGCTGCGAAAACGATTTCCCTCCCAGGAACCCGCTATCGCATACGTCCGATGCGCGCCAAAATTGTCTGCGATCCGGACTGCTTCGTGAAACGTCGCCGGTAGTCGCAAGTGAACCTCGCATTTAATGTCCTGCTTCAGGCCCGAAATGAATCGAGCCTTCTTCTCGGAGTCACGCATGTCGGTGATTTGATCGCATAACGCCATGAAGACCGAAGCGTAATCTTGGACAGAACTCCACTGGCGCCAGTTGTCCAGCTTCGTGCGCGCGTTGTCCGAGGCGGAAAATCGTTCCCGCAGAGTTGTACCCCACGCCTTCCACGTGCAAATCTTGGTCGATCAGAAAATCACGGTTGACCCTTGGGCAGCAGACCCAAAGTTTCCGAAAAACCCCTGTGTGTCGCCTGCCGAAAACTCCCCCTCTTGTAGTGTATATAGCCACCAATCTAGCGCAGGTCCCCGCAGTAGTGATACAGCCAGCCGAATTTTTAAATCGCCAGCAGTGATCCCAGCGGCATTAAAATAAAGTTATGTTGAAAATAACCAACCCATAACAGTCATATTCTTATCAGTGGGGTTGAACGGGGGCGGCATTGTCGGTTTGATTATCGTTGTCGTCACTATCAGCACGAATGCCAGTGCGGCTACAGTAGCGGCTGCCTCTGACCGGGCGGCTGCTACTGTCACTGCTGCTGCTGCTACTACTGCTTTGGCTGCTGCTCGTGCTGCCACATCAGCTGCTGCGGCGGCTTCGTTGTCCTTACGCTCCTGAGACACCTCACGTGCGATTTCTACCAAAATGGTTTCGACACTTCCGGTGCTGGAGACCTCCTCTTAGGCGGCAGTTTTCTGGCACGAATCCTCTCACGCCTGTCGGAACTTGGCAACTTCTGCACGCAGTTGCTCGTTGTCCTTTAGCAATATAGCCATGCGTGTGTTCATTTGGCGAATGTTGAACTACTCCCGAAGCTCGTTGAACTGAGCTTGGTCCATTTGGCGAATGCTCCGCCGGGGCAGGGGGAAATCCATAGTGTGCCTGTACTCAGGTAAGCGCAAACGCTATCGTAGTTGGGCGAATTAATCAGTCTAATTCGCGGGCAATCGCTTTGCAGCTTATGTAAGGGTTTTACCCCCCCCCCCCCCCCCCCCCCCCAAAAAAAATCAACTCACGAAAACGGGTGAGCGAGGAAAGTGGCTCTGAAAACCAGGTGTTATGAATGAACAAGCAGAGTAGCGCGGAAATGAATAACGAAGTGTTCAATCAGTGAATGACGATACAAGGAATGGCAAGCCAAGATATAGGAACACCAGAGCTAGTCTAACCATGAGATGTGAAGGTTCGGGAAAGAGATCAAAGGGTCTCGAAGCGAGGCCCGGAGAACTCCCAAAGGTTGAACTAGAAGGTCTGGAGAAGCCGAGTCGGTTCCTGTCAGAAAGGTCCAGAACTGTCCCGAGGCTTTGGGTGTATTCGAGCGTACGCGATAGCAGTACCGCTCGGTAAGGAATGGAAAATGAGTACGTAGGACAACGGTCAGTAGTAGCTGAGCATGCGGATGGTCGAGGTTCGATTCTTGCGCGACCATCTTTTACCTTGTACAGGTATGCTGCTACATGGCTGTTATGAATTATAACTTAGAGTATATCGCAGAATACTATAGTGGAACGTGATTACAGAATGTGTCCTATCCAAATGAGACATAGGGCTTATATAGTGCGAGTTGACTAGGGTGAATGTTGAGGGTTGGGCCAGTCAAGGGCTCGGCTGTCCCGAGGGTGACGGGGTCAATTGGGTTCGGGGCGACTCGGGATGAGGTTGGGGCCGAATAGGTCGGCGGGGGCTGGTTTGGCGCGAGAACCAAGGGCCGAGCCTGCGGATGCGAAATGTTCGCGTGTACTCGCTTTGGCAAGCCCCAGTAAGGAATCGTAATTCCTTACACTCTCACACCTTCTAAAGGAAGGCACTCCCTTTATCGAGGCTAAACAGTCATTAAAAGTAATCCCCGATTGTAACTGTAAGTCTTCAGCCCTGTGACGAGTGTAATGATTACGCCGGCATGACGAGGTCTTGAAGGTCGAACAGAAATCAAGGGCCAGAAAGCGTCGAAACGATCGTGGTAGATCGTGATCGTTGAATCTTGATGGGCGCAATGATGACGAGACTTCATGAGGTAAAACTCCATCCAACGGCTGAGGCACGTCGCAACGATCGTAATTGATCAGATTCATTGAAGATTATCAACTCCTTCAGCTGACCGATGGGCAAGGGTAAATTCTCCAGCGAAAGACTGTGAACAGTGAAACTGTCGAGTGGTCGATTGATGATGACGCGTGCATCATGAATATCCCGAGTAATGATGAACTGTCGAATGGCGTGGATTGTCGGATGGCGAGGAGCTGTTCATCAAATCCACGAGGTCGTTCGTATCACATGCGAGATCACACGTCCGTGTCCCACGAAAGTCTGCGAACTCCATCAACGAAGTGACGAAATCAAGCACGGAAGCGTAACGGTGATGAATGTCGGTCAAAGATGGATGATGGAAACACGCCGAAGGGTCGGACGGAAAATTGCAGCACAGCTGCACTTCTCACCCCTCCAAGAAGAAATGGCTCCCAATTTCCGAGGTAAAACTGCAGGAAATCCAAGGCTCTATGGTAGTCAAAAGAATCCCATGCTACTGAAGAAAAGTCGCATACTCAGCTTAGAAGATGCCGCTGCAAAACTTCAACCATGAGAAATCCCAAATACTCTCAAAAGTTTAAATTCCTCAGCAGGGTAAAACACTCCAAGAGGCGTGAAAATTAGAAGGAACTGCTCCGGAAGACTCCCAGGCGAACTGAAAATTTTGCACGAGTAGGAACACTGCTTGCGAGCTGGTCCCAACTCAGCTCCAACAGTACTGTGGCAAAATCGTCTCGCTTCGATACTGTTGCTGTCGATTCGGATGGCGAGGCGGGGTCGTGTTCACACAACCAGGCGAATTGAGAATGGAGGTGGTAGCGGGTGGTGGCGAGGTGAAGACGACGATGGCGAGGACCTGTAACCTGTTCTGAACTGCTCCATAGAAAACACCTCGAACAGAAACCCTGGGTCGAATGACGCCAGCTGCATCAGCTCCTTTGTCCGTACATGCCGAAATTTTCATGAAAAGACGAAACAGCTGCTGCGCTTCTCCCTTCCATACAACCAAAACACTCCGCAAATGTCGGTCGATGGCGCTCGTACCCCTGAAGATAGCGGGCACAACTCCAGCTGTAAACTCGTGAACTGCTTCTCAAACCCACCGAAAATGTCGGAACCGCTCGGTACTTAGGAAACACCATAACTCTGCTTCACAACTACCCATAGAAATGCCCAGGCGTGACGACGTCCTTTAGCAGCGCCCCCACGGTTGCTCCACCAGCTGTACGCATGAACAAAACCCTTTATACTAGGGTTTAACGGAGTCCACCACCTCGGCATGATGTTTTGGCTGTCGATCAGAGTCAATGCGCATCATACGCCGTAGATCGTCGCCCAGATGTTACCCAACTTTAAAATACTCTAGTACCTCTGCCAGCTGGTTGCACATACATTCACCCATCTCGCGGCTGCTGCAGGTTACCCAACACCGCTTCGCGGCTGCTACAGAATGTGTCGATAGAAATGAGGCGTAGGGCTTATATAGTGCGAGTTGACCAGGGTGAATGTCGAGGGTTGGACCAGTCAAGGGCTCGGCAGTCCCGAGGATGACGGGGTCAAATTGGGTTCGGGACGACTCGGGATGAGGTTGGGGCCGAATAGGTCGGCGGGGGCTGGTTTGACGCGAGAACCAAGGGTCGAGCCTGCGGGCACGAACTGTTCCCGTGTACTCGCTGTGGCGAGCTCCAGTAAGGAATCGTAATTCCTTATAATGGTGATCTGATTAACTAAATGAATGCATTGCACAACAAAGTAGTGCATATTAAAAACTCAGGTAAAAGCGCGAGCAACACGTTTTTGTATACTTCCAAAACTGCGGAGAAATAAAACTGATACTGCTCTCTACAAAAAATATAGGCAAGTGTATAATTGAATAGAAATACAGAATCTAACAATAACCACATTTTGTTGTGGGATAAAATAGGTCCGCAACGCGCTGACAATTTTAGTTGACTCTTGGTTATGTTGCGCACCCGCACGTTGTTCATACTGTGAGTCGCGGCAGACGCGCGACTTCCTTGTGTCGATGGCGGATTTGACGGCACTGGACGAGGCGTTGTCCCCCACAGACGATGGGTTTCCCGCGCACGCGGCTTTAGGAGACTCCGTATTCAGTGGTTCGGATGCGGAAGCGCCAGATTTAGGATCTCTGAATGTGTCGCGCGGACGACCCGCGGAGCGATCGTCGCGGGGAGGCGCCGGGGGAGGCGCGGGAGCAGCGAAGCGGTTCGGACGAGGCGGAATGATCATGGCGGTGGTCTTCCGCCTGCTGGCGCTTAACAAGCGAATATTAATCCCCGTGGCTCTCGCATCGCTAGCTTCAATGCTGATGGGATACGGTACGGAAGCAGGGTTGCCAAGTCACTTCTTTTTGAGTCGACTCAAAGACCGCTTTTGAGTCGACCCAAGAACCAGCTTCCACGCTGATGGGATACGGTACGGGGAGCGAGGATCATTGAGCTGTAAGGGCGGCTTCAAAGTAGCCGACGTCAGATTGTTTTTTTCCGACTTCGCAGGGTGTTTTTGAGAATTCTCAAAAACACCCTGCAAAATCAAGTAGCCGACGTCAGATTGTTTTTTTCCGACTTCGCAGGGTGTTTTTGAGAATTCTCAAAAACACCCTGCAAAATCGAGTAGCCGACGTCAGATTGGTTTTTTCCGACTTGGGCCACTTTAAACCCGTCCTGAGGGGGTTGCTCTGGCATTTTGCGATACTAAATCCTGCTCACGTGTATATACTCTCCTCGCTCGCCTCAAGAAAGAATCATCTGGGCTTTACATTGACGCTAGGGTCGAATACCTCTCAGTGCTCCCTCTCTGCCCCCCCTCCTCGCTCTCCCCCCTTGTGTCTCTCCGCTGCGTGCAGTGCAGGCATAGGCGTCACCAGCGGCGCAGTGCTGATAGAGCCCGCCTTGGAAGCTTTCGTACCTGGTAGAAATGGTTTTGAATGAATACAACTCTCTCCCTCCTCCCCTTCCCTGCGCCTGTCCCCTGCTTGCAGATCTAGGCGTCACCAGTGGCGCTGTGCTGATCTGCTTTTGGGTCGACTCAAAAGGGGTGCGGTGCTGATCGTGCCTGCCGTCAAACTTATTAAAAAACGGCCTCAGTTCCCCCCTTTGTGTTTGCCCACCCGCTTGTGCCTGTCCGCTGCTTGCAGACATAGGCGTGACCAGCGGTGCGGTGCTGATTGTGCAGCGAACTTACCACCTCAGCATTGCGGATAAGGTGAGCCACCTGTCACGGCCACGCCTCTCTTAGCAGCCACGTCAGCAGAGAGGATAAGGTGAGCACGCCCCCCCTAAACCCACCCCACCAACCCCTACCACCCCCCCTTCCCTCTCCCCCCCCCTCTCTCCCTCTCTCCCCCCTTTCCTCAACCCCCCTCTCCCCCCTCAGGTGCTCCTTCTCTCAGCTCCGAAACAGCCCATCTCTCAGCTCCGAAACAGACCATCTCTCAGCCCATCTCTCAGCCCATCTCTCAGCCCATCTCTCAGCCCATCGCTCAGCTCCGAAACAGCCCATCTCTCAGCCCATCTCTCAGCCCATCTCTCAGCCCATCTCTCAGCCCATCTCTCAGCCCATCTCTCTGCCCCCCTCGCTGACTGCTCCGGTCGTCGTCGGACGCCCGCTCCTCTCCTTTCCTTCTCTCCCGCTGACACCCCTCTCCCCCCCGCCACCCCCGCAACACACAAACTCCCCTCCCCCACTTCAGTAGCTCTTTATCGGTTACTTCTTCGTCGCAGCACCTCTCACTGCTTTTGAGTCGGCTCAAAATCACCTCTCTCTACTCGTCTCTCCAACCCCCTCGCCGATACCGTCAAGAGCACCTACTCGTCAGCTGACCCTCCCTACTTGTCCCCTCCTTCCTCACCCACCCCCGGCACAACGAGGTGACTTTTGAGTCGACTCAAAAACGAGGTGACTTTTGAGTCGACTCAAAAGACCCTCCCTACTTGTCCCCTCCTTCCTCACCCACCCCCGGCACAACCCCCCTTGCTACTTCCTTCCCTCAGGAGCTCATTGGCTCTCTCAGCTTCGAAGCAGCCCTCTCCGCCATCCTCTCGGGCCCTCATTGGCCTGTTCGTCGATTCCTTCGGTCGCTGCCCCTCCTCGTCCCATTGCTCTTCACTCCCTCACTCCCCCAACTCCCCTTCCCTTTCCTTCCCCCCCCTCCCCCCCCTCTTCCTTCCCTCTCAGGAGCTCTTCATCGTTCCTCCAGCTTCACAGCAGCCCTCTCCGCGCTCCTCTCTTCACTTCCAACCCCCTTTGTCCCGTTTTGGTCCCCCCTATCTCCCCTCCCTCCCCCCCTTCAACCCTCCCCCTTCAGGAGTTCTTCATCGGTTCTTTCAGCTTCGCAGAATCCCTCTCCGCGCTCCTCTCCCGTCCTCTGGGCCTTACCTTCGGCCACCGCCCCCCCTCAATTGTTTTTCTCTCCCTCACTAACCCCCCCACCCCACTTCCCCTTCCCCCCCCGCCTTCTCCCTTCCTCCTCAGGAGCTCTTCATCGGTTCTTTCAGCTTCGCAGCAGCCCTTTCCGCCCTCCTCTCCGGCCCGCTCGCCGATTCCTTCGGCCGCCGCCCGCTCCTCCTCCTCTCCTCCCTCCTCTCCTCCCTCGGCTTCCTCACAATGGCCCTCTCTCACACCTTCCCCACCCTCCTCCTCACTCGCCTCCTCACCGGTTTTGGCGTCGGTATTGGGCTGACCGTCGGCCCTCTTTATGCCGTCGAACTCTCCCCAGCAGATTCCAGAGGTGCTCTTTCCGCCCTCTCTGACCTCTCCTCCTCTCTCGGTCTTCTCTTGGGGTATCTAATCGCCTTCCTCCTCTCCCCTTCTACTGCAAACGACCCTACTCTAGCTGTCGCTGCTGCTGCCGCTGCTGCTGCTACTGATCCTACAGCCACCACTGCTGCCACGGCAGCAGCGGCAGCAGCAGCCGCAGCAGCAGAGAGCGCGTTTTCCCCCCACAACTGGCGGTTCATGCTGCTATTAGGGGTTGTACCCGCAGCAGGGCTGGGCCTAGGTGTGGTGTTTCTAGGGGTTCCGGAGTCCCCAAGGTGGCTGGTGCTGGTGGGGAGGGTGAGGGAGGCGGCAGAGGTGCTGCTGGTGCTGGAGGATGGGAGGGAGGTGGAGACTGCTGCGCTGCTTGAAGACATGACTGCCGCCGCCGCTGCTGCTGCTGCTGCTGCTGCTGCTGCTGGTGTTGGCGGTGGGGGGGGGAGGATGCAGAAGCAGCAGCGTTGTTGGGAGGGGGAGGGTATGGGGCGGGAGGATCACAGTCAGTCCCAGCTGTGGCAGGAGGAGGGGGAGCCGGAGGGGTGGCAGGCTTACATGCCCTCACACCTACAGCACCAGCAGGAGCACAGTTCTGGAAGGGACCAGCAGGGGGAGGGTTATCTGGGGGCGGTTTAACTGGGGGTAGGTCTTCTGGGGGAGATGGGGGGAAGGGTTTGTGGAGGGGAGTGTTTGGGGGAGGTAAGGGGAGGGCGGCGGGGGGTGGGGTGTGGAGGGAGCTGCTGCTGCCGAGTGAGACTGTCAAGCAGATGCTCATGCTGGCTGTGGGCGCGGCTTTCTACCAACAGGTAGACCTCATTTTTTTTGTGTTGTTACCCTGCTTGGGTGCTGCACTTTGGCCGTTGTGTGGAGGGAGCTGCTGTTTCCGCTTGAGGCAGTCAGGCAGATGCTCATGCTGGCAGTTGGTGCGGCCTTCTACCAACGGGCAACTCTAGCTACCTTGTACGAGCAGGTACCTTTGTCGGCTGTTGTATAGCAGTGTGGTGGAGGGAGCTGCTGTTTCCGAGTGAGGCAGTCAGGCAGATGCTCATGCTGGCCGTGGGCGCTGATTGCTACCACCAGGCACTCTTTAACCCCCAACAATGCTCTAGTAAACCCCGGAGCTCTTCGCCCCAACGGGCCTCACCTCTTCTGCGTCCACGCTCCTGCCTGTCTGCTCTCTCCCTCCCCTCTTAACAGGCAGAGATAGACAGTGTCCACGCACACTTCTTTTCCACCTCCTCATCGCCCCACCCACCCGCCATTCCCCACTCTTCCCCTCCTCTCTCCCCCCCCCCCCCCTCATGCGACAGGCAACCGGCGTCCCCACAATGCTGTATTACACCCCTGAGCTCTTCGCCACTATGGGCCTCACCTCTTCAGCCGCCATCCTCTCTGCCTGCCTTGCTGTGGCCCTCGCTCGCACTCTCGCCTCTCTGGTGCCGATCACAATGCTGGACGAGATCGGGCGACGCACCCTGCTGCTCATTAGCACAGCAGGTAAGCGGTGTTGAGTTTAACAAGTGGCTGGACTAGTTGGCCTGCTCTCTTTGTGCCATCCTCTCTGCCTGCCTTGCTGTGGCATTCCCCTCGCTCGCACCCTCGCCTCTCTGGTGCCGATCACCATGCTGGTTGAGATCGGGCGACAGACCTTACTCCTCATCACCACGGCAGGTGAGCAGCAATCAGCCTTGCAAGAGGGTGGCTCAGTATCCTGCTCGCTCTGTCTGCCTCGCTGCGGCCCTCACCCCTTCTCTCTAGCCTTCCTGGTGCCAATCTTCATGCTCGGTGAGATAGGGAGGCCACTGGGAGGTCATCTGGAGGCCACCGCGCTGCTGGACGAGATAGAGTGGCCACAAGGCTGCTAGCTCAAGCCATTGTCCTCCACTCAATGAATCTCGGCGACGAATTTTGACATCTCCTCCTTTAATCCCCTTATCCCTCTCCGGGTCCCCTCATCCCCATTCCTGCCCTCCCCAGTCAATTCCAGGCATGACCATCGCACTGCTTGCTGAAGCCAGCGTCCTCCACACAATGAATCTCGGGGGCGAATTCGGCATTTCCTCCTGGCATCCCCTTGTCCTCCCCCCCCCGCCTCCCCTCTCCTCGCTTCCCTGTCCTCCCCTTTCAATTCCAGGCATGGCCATCGCGCTGCTAGCGCAAGCCATTGTCCTGAACACGATAATCTTGGGAGGGTTTGGCACAACCTCCTTTTCCCCTGTCATCAAGCCAACCCCCTTTCCTGTCACCCCCCCTCCAGGCATGGCCATAGCGCTGCTAGCTCAGGGCATCGTGCTCCACACAATGAACCTCGGGGGCGAGTTTGACATCTCCACCGAAAACCCCTCCACCACCACCACTGTTGCAGCCGGTGCTCTCACTTCCCTCGTCGACCGCCCCTTTCAGTCCAACGCCGCTGCTCTCTCAGTCATCGCCGCGGCCAATCTCGCCGTCTTTTTCTCCATAGGCCTCTCCCCCATCTCCACTCTCCTCGCCCCGGAAATCTTCCCCCTCCGCCTACGAGCCCAAGGGACAGGGCTCTCCGTGGCCGTTAGCCGGCTCATTGCCGCTGCCCTCTCCTCCTCGTTCCTGAGCCTGGTGGATGCCACAAGCCCGGGGTTTCCGTTCTTTGTGTTTGCGGTGCTGTCGGCGGTCGCAGTTCCATTTTTGCATTTCTGCATGCGGGAGACTAGAGGGGTGAAGCTGGAGGCGACAGGTGCGCTTTTTGAACCTAGTGCCGGGGGAGGGGTGGGGAGAGGAGGGGGAGGGGGGGTGTGGGGGGAGGAGGGGTGGGAGGGGCGGGGGGTGCGGGAGGGGAGGGTGCAGTGATGGATGGGCATGGCAGGGCGATCGGGAGGAGAGCGAGGAATGTGGGAGCGGGGGATAGGAGCTTGACCTCGTGACAAAAGGCATAGCTGCTGTCAGTCAGTCAGGCTCGTCAGGTTAGTGACCTGACCAGCTTTCGCAAGGGAGAGTCTAGTTTGAGGCGCCTCTAGACTAGGGGTTAGACCACCTGACCTGACAAAAAGCATTGCAACAGCCAGTCGGGCACGTCAGTGACCAGCTTTTGCAAGAGAGTACTTTCCAGCCCGGGGCAGGAGCTATTTTTTGGCCGAGGAGGAAATAACACTGCATTTCACTGGAGGGCTTCGTATTTGTAGGTGCCTCTATTTCGTAGGCAGCAAAAATCTAGTGTGTAGATTTTGCCTTCTCCATGTGTGGTGTGGTGTGGTTGCCTCTTAATGGTTGATCTGCCAAGAGCAAGCAGGCTAGCTTTGATATATCTCAACTACAGTAACATCCATTTATTACCAACCCACCATACAGACACAAGTACACCACGCCACAACAACCTCCCTTCCCACACCTGGCATCTGCCCTTCCTGCCCTATCTCCAGTGAGAGAGTCTCCACTCCACCCCACCCTGATGCAGACACACTCCACTTACAGACTATAGAGAGCTCCCGGCCCCGGCCCTGGCCCTGACCCCGCCACTTGCAGACAACGAGCACTCAAAGAAATACCCTACCCAACCCTACCCTACCCAAACCTACCCAAACCTACCCAAACCTACCCCCAACCCTACCCTACCCTATCCTATCCCACCCTACCCTACTCTACCCTGCTGCATGCTGCTATTTTTACACAGTCGCCACAACGCATGCTTGCAGCGCTGCTCCATGTGATCTGGTAACCCGATTACACCCCATGTTCGACTCGACACAACACACTTGAAACAACCCTTGTAGCTCTGTACATGCCGAACAGCATGGAGCTTGGAGGCTCCCTCAATCTCCACCAAACGACCTTCCAATCTGGTTACACGGTGTTTTACGGCGCTGAAACCCAGTTATCGCCATAACTTGACGCACTTGTAACCCTTGCAGCTACGCACGAAGGGCACGCAGAAATAGCCGGCGCCGCACTGCAAGGGGTGGCAGACAGAGCGCTTCTTCTTGCACGCGCGCTTGCTCTTCTTCCCCCAGAGGCTGCAGGGGAGGGGCGAGTGGGGGATAGGGAGGGATGGGGGAAAGGGAGGGATGGGGGAAAGGGAGGGATGGGGGAAAGGGAGGGATGGGGGATAGGGAGGGATGGGGGAAAGGGAGGGATGGGGGATAGGGAGGGATGGGGGAAAGGGAGGGATGGGGGAAAGGGAGGGATGGGGGAAAGGGAGGGATGGGGGATAGGGAGGGATGGGGGAAAGGGAGGGATGGGGGAAAGGGAGGGATGGGGGAAAGGGAGGGATGGAGGAAAGGGAGGGATGGGGGAAAGGGAGGGATGGGGGATAGGGAGGGATGGGGGAAAGGGAGGGATGGGGGAAAGGGAGGGATGGGGGAAAGGGAGGGATGGGGGAAAGGGAGGGATGGGGGATAGGGAGGGATGGGGGAAAGGGAGGGATGGGGGAAAGGGAGGATGGGGGAGCGGAAGGGATGGGGGATAGGGAGGGATGGGGGAAAGGGAGGGATGGGGGAAAGGGAGGGATGGGGGAAAGGGAGGGATGGGGGAAAGGGAGGGATGGGGGAAAGGGAGGGATGGGGGAAAGGGAGGGATGGGGGATAGGGAGGGATGGGGGAAGGGAGGGATGGGGGAGAGGGAGGGATGGGGAATGGGAGGGATGGGGGAAAGGGAGGGATGGGGGAAAGGGAGGGATGGGGGAAAGGGAGGGATGGGGGATAGGGAGGGATGGGGGAAAGGGAGGGATGGGGAAAGGGAGGATGGGGGAGCGGAAGGGATGGGGGATAGGAAGGGATGGGGGAAAGGGAGGGGGGGAAAGGGAGGGATGGGGGAAAGGGAGGGATGGGGGAAAGGGAGGGATGGGGGAAAGGGAGGGATGGGGAAGGGAGGGATGGGGGAAGGGAGGGATGGGGGAAAGGGAGGGATGGGGGAAAGGGAGGGATGGGGGAAAGGGAGGGATGGGGGAAGGGAGGGATGGGGGAAAGGGAGGGATGGGGGAAAGGGAGGGATGGGGATAGGGAGGGATGGGGGAAAGGGAGGGATGGGGGAAAGGGAGGGATGGGGGAGGGAGGGATGGGGGAAAGGGAGGGATGGGGGAAAGGGAGGGATGGGGGAAAGGAGGGATGGGGGAAAGGGAGGGATGGGGGAAAGGGAGGGATGGGGAAAGGAGGGATGGGGGAAAGGGAGGGATGGGGGAAAGGGAGGGATGGGGGAAAGGGAGGGATGGGGGAAAGGGAGGGATGGGGGAAAGGGAGGGATGGGGGAAAGGGAGGGATGGGGGAAAGGGAGGGATGGGGGAAAGGGAGGGATGGGGGAAAGGGAGGGATGGGGGAAAGGGAGGGATGGGGGAAAGGGAGGGATGGGGGAAAGGGAGGGATGGGGGAAAGGGAGGGATGGGGGATAGGGAGGATGGGGGACAGGGAGGGATGGGGGAAAGGGAGGGATGGGGGAAAGGGAGGGATGGGGGATAGGGAGGGATGGGGGAAAGGGAGGGATGGGGGAAAGGGAGGGATGGGGGAAAGGGAGGGATGGGGGATAGGAGGGATGAGGCACAGCTACACAGTCCCCACAGCACGCCTGCAGATACCACACCCTGTGTAGGGTGCAGTGCTAGATACCAAGTGTAAGTAAGTAGTTTCAAAAACAGTCCACGGCACGCCTGCAGATGGCAGACACTGTGTCGGGTGCAGTGCTAGATACCAAGCACGACACTCAATCACCATAACAACGCACGCACTCACCGTGGCATGGCACACACGCACCATGGCACGTCATGGGCAGCAGGGAGGCCGGTTCAGCAGCAGGAGAGACCTCTGGCGCACACACCCGATTCGCACCGCACGGCTGGACAGTCCCAATGGCATGGCTGCAGATGTCACACCCTGACTCCCTCTGCAGCGCTTCATCCCCAGCATTGCAGTTCACCGCGCTCTGCAGGCAGTTATCGGCGCAGGTACAGCTGGCGAAGGTGGCACCTGAACTGGGGAAGGTGCCTGTAAGGTAGTTGTGGGGCAGGTGCAGCTCGGAGATCTGCGATCCGACGGCTGGGATCGAACCGGAGAGATAGTTGGAAGCGAGGGAGCTGGGAGGGGGGGGGGATGGTGGTGGGGGGTGGTTGGGGGAATGGGAGGAAGGAAGGATTGGGAATGAGAGTAAGAGAGGGAGGGTTATGGGGGAGAAAGGTTGAAAGGGCAGCAGGAAGAAAAATATAAAAGAGCGGAGGGGGAAAGTGAAAAAAAGGAGCAGAGAATGGCGATATCTAGGCAGGTATTACATGGAAGTGAGGGTGTCTTTGGCGAGTATGGCGGTGGGAAGGGTGCCATAAATAAAGTTGTAACTAAGTTCGCTGTAAGGGGGCAGGGGTGATACGGAGGTTTACAAGCAGGGGGCAGGAAGACAGGGGCGGAGGGGGCTGCGTTGAGAGATCAACTCAGAGGATTGTTCTCCATAGGATGTTTTTGAGAAGTCTCAAAACAAAAACACCCTACAAAATAAAAAACTGTTGTCCATAGGAGCATCCGTTCTAAGAGAGGAACTCTTGGAAAAGAACAACAGAAGCTGCAGTTATCAAGTGCTCTCGGGTATTTCAGGTGCTATCAGGCGCTCTCAGGTGCCCTCAGGTGTGTCAGGCGCTCTTAGGTGTTTAAGACACCCTCAGGTGGCTCAGATGCTTTCTCAAGTGCTTCAGGTGCTCACAGGTACTGCAGGTTGGGAATGGACGGCAGATTCGCTGCCAGAACCCCCATCTCAGCCACGATGCGATCATTGATGAGAGAGCTGCCAGGGGAGGGAGGGGGGTCATTAGAAGAGCTTGTGGGAGCAGCGGGAATGGGAGGGGACCGTGCAGCGTGGTGCCACCGCGCCCAGCTCAACCACAAAACGATCATTGATGAGAAATCTGAGAGGGGAGGGAGGGGGAATATCAGGGGAGCTTGTGGGGGGGAAGGAGGAGGGGAGTAAGGCACGGATCACAGGTACTGCTGATTGGGAATGGAGGGCGGATTCTGTGCCAGCACGCGCAGCTCAGGCCTGATGCAATCATTGCTGAGAGAGTTGCCCTAACTTACATGCGAGTGAGGGTGGTCAGAGCAGACCCCCATACCCCAAATCCCCAAACCTCAAACCTTAAAGCTTAAACCCTAGATCTTGGACCCTTCAACACGCTTACATGCGAGTGAGGGCGGTCAGAGCAGACCCCCATAACCCTAAACCCCAAGCCGAGACCTTAAAGCTTAAACCCAACGTCTTAAACCCTAACCTCAACATGCTCACATGTGAGTGAGGGCGGTCAGAGCTGACACTTGTCTTGGAAAGCTCCCAGAAAGCTCCTGAAGGTTGATAGCTCTGCTCACAGAAACAAAGAAGCATAAATACTTGTAAAACTATTCAGCTCGCATGCACATTGTAACAATAGTGAAAAGTGCAAAGACTTGACCATCCCTTACAGCACCACCTCCCCTCACTCGTATGGCAGTCAGGAGCCCCTCACCATTGCACATGAAAGCTGTCCACCATAACCCTAAACCCGAAACCCGAACCTAAACCTGAAAGCCTACACCTTAAACCCCGAAACCCAAACCCTTGTTGGAGTTAGGCTGCAATGTTGCAAATCTGTGTGTTAGTAATTTGTTCGTTTCGGGTTAGGAATGTTTGTTAGGCTGGGTGTAGCTTTTCCATCCCCAACCTATCCCAACCCAATCCATCCCAACCCAAATCCCCACGATTTGGGAGGATTCCCTTGGGATTCCCTCCGATTTCCCCTTATCCCTTCCAATCCGATGCTTGGTACTTAAGCCGGTATGCCCTCTCTCACTTAATCAACTGCCGTTTTCTTACAACCCTCACATTGCAGTCGGGTGCCCGTCCCCATTGCACGTGACAGCTGTCCACCCGTGAGTGGTCGAGTCCGTCCCCCACTCCACGCTGCACAGGGCGCCCTCTAGCCAATCGGTGAACGGCACGTGGAGGCTTGTCTTGAGTGCCAGCATGGCAGCTGCAGCAGCGGGAGCCATGGCTACTGGCAGAAAAGAATCCCTGGATGCTGCAGAGGAGAGGTGAAGAACGGAGAGGAGAGGTGAAGAATGGCGAGGAGAGGTGAAGAACGGCGAGGAGAGGTGAGGTGAGGAGAGGCGAGGGGATTGGGGTGATAAGTGATTCTTTAGTCGGCTAAAAAATCACTGGCAGAGGAAAGCAGAGGAGTTATAAGGGAGCAAGGAGGGAGAGGAAGGCGAAACAAGGAGGAACGAGGAAGGAGAGGGAGGGGAAAGGGGGCAAGACGGTTTTGAGGCGCCTTAAAAACATGCTGC